GCAAAAACTATGCCTGATACAAGAATTATTTCTTGCCAACTTATATGCTCGTCCCACAACAAAATACTGACATTGTTTGTTGACACTGTCTTGACTCATACGAATTCATTGCTTGGTTTAAGGTGACTGTTAGGGTTGTATTAAGAGATTACGACTCCGGATGCCACGTTTATTGACATCATCCACCTGTGTGGCAGCCAAACCCAGCAATAGTCGTTCAAAAACAATTTATTTCGCCTTAAGTTTGTAAAACAAAACATGAGAAGTTGCGACACAGATTGTAGCTGAATAAACTTTACAGTTTATTCAGCTATTGCAATAGATTGCTGCAGTTAATGGCTATACGATGGCACGTGACCATGAAATTAATCGCGATATCACGCCTTACGTCACCAATTATCGAACCTGCGTTCCTTTTGACAATGTTTCATCCCATGGGAACATGGGGTTGAACATTACTCGCGTAGACCACGCGAGACAACACGCGTGATAACAAAATGGCCGACAAAATAATAGTATGAATAATTAAATTTTAAACGTAAAAAAACTGGGTTTTTTAAATTTTGAAACAAATTTTGAAAAATGTTGTCATTAATATTCCAAACGATATGTGAGTCGAAAGAAAAGCGACGATACTTGCGTTAATCCAAAAATAAAGCGTCGTATTCACGAAGGTATGTGTCAAGTTTTACATTATGAGGGTAAAATTTCGCCGAATCCCCCTCGCTCCAGGTCTATAAATGATGATATATCAAGAAGAAGTGCGGACCTATTCCAGCAGATGGAATAACCAAATACTGAACATAATACATTGTAACATGAAATGAGAAATAATGGTAAGAGCAAAGTCAGGCAAGAGCACCAGCAGGATAATGTAAGTCTGTAAAGAAGAAAGGAGATATGGTAATGATGTTTCAACCAAACAGCCATAAGAGGTGAAATATAACGGTATGTACTTATATTTCAACTAGCAGCAAGAACAGAGGTGACCCGATAACACAGACATCAAGGAACACTACTGGAACTATTAAATAACAGACGAAAGGCATTCGGATATTTCTATGGTATATTTAAAAGTGAAAGAAAAAAACATTCATCATAAAGGTTGATATATTTATATGATAGTCTCTTGAATAAATGTGAATCCGAGAATTAAGAATAAGAAAATCTTGAGAAAATGTCTTGTAGGCTGCTCAATTCAAACCACTTTTATACGAATTGTACTTCACTGCAGGACTAGCCTGCATGGCAGGCGGTATTTCTGCAGGCAGCGAAAATTAGGGAGGCAAAGGAAATACCGTCTGCCGCAAAACTAGGGGTTTTTGAATTACCCGTCCGCTGGTGAACAGGAAAAACGGATTGGTTAGTATTTTTATGTAGTTGTCAATCAACGGCTAAATTTGGTTAAATGTTAATCATTAACCAAATGTTTTGACGTTTTGAAACTCTGCGTTTTTAAATTTATAGTTCACGTCAAGTCAGACCAGAAATGGAATAACATAATAAAAGAAGCAAATTAAAAGATACAAGCTGAAAAATAACACTCTAAATAGCGAGCTAAATAGTGTTATTGATAGAGATTCGAACAAGAATATTTAACAAAGAAGATACGTCTGAAGGGGCTGAAGTTATGATCGGCGAAAGGTATGGGCTAGTCTATATTTTCGTTCAGACAATTACATGCGTATTAATTTGATAATATACTATCTCGCTTGACTTTCAAAGGCCATAAATCGCAATAATGTTGACATTTTACTAAAACTATCGATAGAAATTAGGAGATATTTCTTCACTGAATCGAACAGTGGGATTTCCATATAGGCCTATCAGTCGTGTTCTGAACCAAAGATACTTGATAGATATTATATACGAACCTCCAAAGTATAAACAAGGGGCCGGTTGATGCAGTAATTATCAAATAACAGTTTAAACTCTTATATACCCGTTGAATATGTATAGTTGTAAACAAATAAAAACTATCGTTCTATAAGATTCAATACTTTTAGTTTGGTTGTTGACTGATGACGAATCTATAGTATAGACTTGCATGCTTTGTATTTTGAGCTTATTAAACCACCGTTTTAAGGCAGCTTAACGGCTAAACGGGCTTGGTTTATATTAACACATAAAATAAATTCCTTAATTCTCATCACTAGACACAGTCTACACTTTGAAATGTCGAAGACAGTGGGAGATTTATTTTTTATATTTTATATTTATATAATTTATATATCAATAGTTCGTATCTACACGAACAATGACAGAATGACTGAGTTTCTTTAAAATACAATGAAATTTCACTCAAAATTCTGTTTGTTTCAAATTGGAAGTTTAAAATGGCAATAAAAACTCTATATAAAATATGAAAAAATTAACTGTCTTGAATTATTTTGTCGGGCGGTACATTTATATTGTATAACGAAAAATAAAACGTTTTCACGAGGATTTTAAAATTCAGTTGGGCGTTGATGAGAATCAAGGAATTTATTTTATGTTTGGCAGTTGGGACTTGGGAGCAGCTTGGGAGTGGCTAATTTTGAATATTTACTTAATTAATGCATCTATAAATAGCGTTGATGCTTCAGGGGCATTAGTTCATTTACACCCAGTTTTGCGTGCAGGCTACTGCAGGACATGTTCTTTACTGGACAGTTAGAAAATTCAGTTTATTCATGGAGAACTATATAAAAGTCTCTTAGTTGAAGCAAGGAAAGAGTTCGATAAATTTGTGCTTTTCGACGACAACAATGTCTATACATCTATTTCAACTCAGTCTTATTGCTACTAAAAAAATTAAAACCATAGTTTTAAAACATCAAAATCCTATTATTTGCAAATAAAAATTCCATGGCATTCTATATTAATTTCGCTGTTATCATAGCCTCGTCAACAATCCGCCATATTGTTTGTTTAACTAAGGTTTTACATTTTTTAGTACCAATAAGACTGTGTTGAAAGAGATATATAGATATTGATGTCGTCCAAAAACATCAATTCCTGGAGAACTATCTAGTAGAAGCCAAGTTAGTTTAGTTTAAAAAACGGCAGCCTGTTGAAAATTGTCCTCAGCAACAAGGCTGAAGAACGTTTCTCACAAAATTCTCACATAATCGTAAGGAATCATATTTATGGTAGCGTATTAATAATTTTAAAATAAGATCAAGATTATCAAATGTCGGTGATGTTACTCTGAGTGTGCATCCACAGCGGGTAAGCTGAAAAGTTTGCTTGACCACAGTGGGAATCGAACCCGCGACGTTTGGAATACTAGTCCAATGCTCTACGAACTGAGCTAGGAGGTCAAATTGGTTCCCACCGTGGTCAGTAAACTTTTCAGCTTGTCCGGTGTGGATGCACACCCAAAGTAATATCACAAACATCATATTCACCTGAGTATATATCACCATGCAACACATACAAAAAGTAAGATTACCAAATGTTTAATAATATTGCAGACATATTGGTGTATTGTGGGATAATAAACTGCACATCCTTTTAAATGTGACTTGAAAAAGGTATATTTATACAAAAAGGTCTATACCTTCGCAATATGTGGCATTGCCAGTGAGACCTTCCGAACATTTGCATTCATATGATCCAGGAATATCATTACACGTGGCATTCACGTGACACGGAGGGTCGTCATCGCAGTCAATGATATCTAAAACAAAAAATGTAATAGTTTCATAATTTACAGAACCAATTTCGAAAATAATTGCAATTTATCCAATTTGGATTCTTTTTCTCTTACATAATTAATACTTGTATAATTAATATATATATTATATAAATAACATTTACATAATTAATATTTGAAAGTCACTGTTGTAAATTTGCAGCTTCAAACTAATATAAAACTGCACTTCGAATTCTAGCAGTTATTCTCAGTTTATTTAGGCTCTGTCTCACAACATGAACCAGAAATCGGAACAGTTCACCCTTTTCATAATTGTAAATATCAAGTAGAAAAAGCGATTAGTCGAACAAACAGTCTCCTGCGATAACTTTCTAGCAGGTTTACTGAAAGACTGTGAGAATAAATTATAATCATCTTCGCCAGGAGGTTGTTGTTTGTTGTTTTTGGCAATTTGATTCTCCGTTAGCAAGGACAACTCAAAACGGTTTAGAAACAACATTTGTGGAGGTACAGGTAATGACGCCCCAAGGATATTAATTCATCACATTTTGTTGAACTTAGATGAAAATTAAATGAGACATATATCACTTTCATTGGTGGAGGATGTCAGTTTCAGAATGCATTCTTGTCGTTGTCCTACACACCTAAAAATCTCACAACTTGTCAACACGATGTGTTCGCAACAGGCTTGCGGCAAGCTTACCAATAAGTTGTAACAATGCTGTTATTTCATTAAGTTGCTACAAGGTTGTCACTCACAACTGGTTGAAAAATTGTTGAATTCAGGACGATAACAAGTTGTTGGAACAACTCGTAACAAGTCTGTTGAGCTCAACAACCTTGTAGGAAGTTGTCAACAAGTCGTTGGCAACTTGTAAACAAGCTGGGAACAAGCAGTCCGAACACATCCTGTTGACAAGTTGTTGGAACAGCATTGCTGTTTGCAAGTCTGCTTCAGATTTGTTACAACGTGTGCGTTTTTAAGTGTGTACTTCAGGCTGTTACTTGACTTTGATTGGCAGAGGATTTGAGTGTCTCTGCAGAATGCTGTCTATAGTTAATGAACTTTAAGAACTCTACTATGCTGCGTTTTTAAGTTTTTACCTTGACAGATGGTTCCATTAAGAAAATATCCCTCATAGCACATGCATTCAAAGCTACTAGGCGTGTTTAAACACTTGGATACGTTGACCATATCGGGGCAGTATGTCCCCACACAACATTCATCGTAATCTAAAAAGACAAGAGAGGAATGAAAACCTTCGCAATACCACAGTTAAGATACCTGCATGGTCAGAAAAAGTTTCTTGATTCTGATCGTTATATTTCATGGAGACTGATCACGATTGAAAAAAAAAAACTTTAGTGTTGCTGGTGCATGATATGTATTTCCTAGAAAGGTGATGCGTAGGTACTGGGCATGAAGTGTTTGTTATTCATCAATGTGTAGATCAACAGGCCCACAAATGCCAATGTAGGCGAGACACAGGGCAGCCTTGCCATTAGTATTCAAAGTCACTCAAATTCAAGTATATTTTAGTGCAGTAAATGCAACAGCAGGTACTCACCAAATGCTACGATTAATCTTCGTGACCCAGCATTAATATTGGAAACATTTATCTCTACCCAGGTGCGTTTGTTATATTTGTCAATTCTATTATTTTCTTTGTCCAACACGTAAAGATACATGTAATCTTGCGCCAGATCAATTTCTGCGTCATAACTGATATTAAGAGGCACTGTTTCACCAGTGTAAGATGATCTTGTAAGATTATATGTTCCTGTAGAAACGATAAAATTGTCCCAGTACACGACCTCATTATCTTGATCAACAGACAATGTCTGAGCGGAGCCATCAAAGTTTATATCTTGGGTCGCAAGTGATGTAATATCAAATCTAACAATAGGAGGATCCGATGACTTTGCAATTAATAGGTACCTATAAAAATGTCAAAATAAAGTAATCAAATCTAAATATTTCAATAATCTATAACTTATGCAAAATTGACGGAAACCAGAGTCGGTAATTTGATTACAATATTCAAATTGCAGCAGATATACTACAAACCCAACCGTCAAAACCTAAGGTTTTAAAAAAAGCACTATCTCCCTGACAAGTAAAGTAGTCTAGCGTTAGACAGAGTAAAATAATTAAGTAAAACGCACTTGGGCGCATTGCATACACTTAAAGGGTTAAAATGGCTAATTTCATTAACTGATGGCAAAAGTTGAGATGCAACATTTCTCACGTAATTTACCAATATACAATAGATCCAACAAACGTCAGCTGAACGTTGGTAAAAGAAACCCTCAAGATTAAAAAACAGTTCTTTTAAATATTATGCTGAAAAACACATCAAAGCTTTCACTACAGTTATCGAGTGGAAATTTATGTACGTTTATTAGATCTGACCAGGAACAGCTGCGAAAAACGCAACTGCAGGACCCTAGCAGGGATCGAACCTGCGGCCCTGTGATTCCGGGGCAGTGCTCTAACCAACTGAGCTACAGAGGACAGTCGTCGAGCTCCAATCACAAGTTCACACCTATAATATGTCTACCTCAGTTGGTTAGACGCTGCACCGGAATCGCAGGGTCGCAGGTTTGATTCCTGCCGATTGAATTTTTTCGCATCCTCAATAATATAGTCCCTCAACAGACAGTCAATCTCAGTCTCTGGGAGTTAATAAAAAAAAAACAAATTGCAAAATCATTGCGAAATCTGATGTGCAGAGTGGGTGATAATTGTTTACGTTTATGTATTTTGTACAATATCCTGCTTGCAGTCCCATAAAATGCTGATTGTTTTGTTCCATAAAAGTGATTGCTACATTGCAGCGTGAAACTGAGAAGTACATATTCCACGAGTGCGTTTATAGACAGTGTCTCAACTCCCGCCCGGTATTATTCAAATAACATACAAGTATAAAGAGCTGAAGCACATGCCCTCTTAAACTTTGAGTCTTAAATTATACATATCTCTAAAAGAGGCATTTTGCTCTTTCCACTCCGTGTCCGTATAGAGAGTTTGCACATGACGTCACAGCCACCATGTTGAATGAATGAATGAATGAACAACTTTATTTAAAGAGGGCAAAAACACATGACAGCAATATAACTGAAAAACCTGTGGCCCTCATATACAATACATACAAAGTTATTAATTCTACTTTAAAACGTCTAAAAGCTACTTAGAGTAAATATGTAAAAGATCTTAGGATTATAAATTTATATATACAAATTATATACAGTACAACTTGCTGATCACAATAATAATTCAAAGCGATCGATGCCCTTATAAGATTCTAAGAAGTATTTTTTAAGGGCAAACTTAAAGGAATTAACGCTAGGTTTCGTCTTAATATCCTTCGGGAGATTGTTCCATATTTTAATGCTGCTGACCGTTACAGATTTTCCTCCCTCAGTTGCATAATTATATTTAGGACACACTAAATTATATTCGCCATGACGAGTTTGTCTACCATTAATTTCATTGTTTGTTTTAAATAAGTTCTTAATATACTGCAGAGCTTGGTCATGCAGGCTTTTGTAAACTAAAGTGCATTTGTTAATTTTAACTTCGTCATAAAAAGGTATCCAGTTCAGTTTATTGAAATTGGCTATTGACCTGGAGGAAGTGTCAGTTCCTAAAATTACCTGAGCTGCTCTTTTTTGTAATTTAAAAATTCTGAGCAGATCATTTCGCGAGCAGCAACTCCCAATAGAACTATGTTGGTGTTCCAATTAAAAAAAAATTAATTAGACTCTTTTGTCTGGAACACCAACATGGCCACCATGGCTTTTGAGTTGGTCCCTGGGGAATGAGTGCATGCAAACGCTCTATTACAAACATTCAACTGTACATATAAATAAGTTTTATAATATACAAATTGAAGACAATTACCGATTTTTTATGTCCATCTCCATGCCTTTTATACCAGAAAGAGAATCCAAAGCTTGAACCGGGACATCTTCTCCACTGCTAATATTGACTGAGTTGATTTTTAATGTTAAACTATTCAAGTAGTATAGAACACCACGTTCACCATCATATGCAAACTCTGCAATATTTGCTTTATTGATTAGAACTGTCGAATTCAAACCATTCAAACCAACACTGTATAGGTTCTGCGTATCATCATAATACAACAATCGTCGGTTGTATTTGTCATATCCTAATATATTATTGTCTGTAGTAGGAATGCTGACTGAGGAATTTGATATAATCTCTGATGATGTAGAGTAGAATAGAATTTCATCTTCACATGTTTCTAAAAAGAACAACAAATAAGTTACTTTCTTACATGGTGCTATTGTAATGTTAGTTGAGTGCTAAATATATAATATTCTTGAAATGCAAAAGTATATAAGCTAGTACAAAGTATATAGGCTAGTAAATGCGGTCTATCTACTATTTAAAACACAAGCAGGAGTGCTTGTTGTCAAGCACGGACTACGAGTGTTTTAAATCGCTTAAAAAACTATCCATCTTACGAGTTCATTGGCGAGGTAATTTTAAAAATCAACGTTGTCCAAGCCGAGTAAGTAAAGTAAAGTTTATGCAAATTAACATGATTTTTTATCACATGTAAAGTGCACCGACAGGGTAGTAATTACCTTTGTAAAGTCCTCATGAATTATTAATGCATTTAGTAAATATATGTATAATCCACGAGCGCAGTTCCAGGCGTAAGCCCGGGTACTAATTCCGCCCAGCTATTTACTACCGGGGAAAGGAACGCACTAGCAAGCACTAGCGAAGTCTAAAGTTCATCAAATATCGCGGGCGCATGGCTCACCGTTCATGGGTGATCATCCTCACTGATCTCAAAATATGTAGCGGACTGTCTTGAATAGTGACTACTGATTGATCAAATTTAAAATTTGCATTATAACGACTGCATGATGACTGCGAAATAACAAACATTTCTTGCAAGTTGTATTTTTGCAAGATTTTGTAAATTTCAAAATTTTTATGAGAGCCAAAAAACGTCTAAAAGAATGGAGCAAAGTCGCCGACGTTAATGAAGATAAGTTTGTCATTAATATTGATGTATTGTTTGTTTTATAATTGCTTTAACAACTGATACGATCGTTGCGTATATAAGTGAAAAAAGACAGCATATAATATCAGTGTATTTTTATCAATACCCTTTCTTTGTATATTAAAATATTTAAATAAAGAGGAAAGCAAAGTTATTTTCGTGAGAGAATTTGAAATCAGTTTATTTCAAACTCAATGTTTAGCTACCGATAATTCGATAAAAGGCAGTTTAGTTTTAAGAACATTTTAATGAAACGTTTTGCGAAGCGTTTGTGGTTGAATTTTAAATTAAATTGAAGCTTATATTACGTATAATAACATACCTAGCATATAGATTTTTGGGAAATTGATCATTTTGTAATTAAAAGTCATATTTTGGCTATTTTAGAAGTATTTTTCAATTTTAAAACTATTCTTAAAATTATCGTGTTACCATGACAACTACTTCCAATACTTCATGTTCAGAAAACATAATGGTTTTGTCAGTAAGGCGAGGGTTTCTGCATGCATGTATGTTCTAGTACACAAATAATATAAGTAATTTTCAACAGACAGGAATCAACTCTCCATTACGAAATTTGTTCAGGATCAAGTCTTTATCGCTCGGTATGGTTTTATTATTTGGTGGCTCCCTACAGTTCTCTAAAATTCTAGGTATTTTGAGTATCGTTCGCTTTGAACCGAATTTATATTAGATACACTTAAGACAAGGCAATATGATCATTTCCAGGAAAGTTCAGAAGCTGTGTGCTGCCATTTATGAACAAATTAAAACAGTGTTTGTGTTGCCATGGCAACCATGACGTTTAATCTTTTGCACTTTTATTGTCTAATTTCACAATAAATGGACAATATCTATATTTTCCTTCGGTGAATTTTTCTGAAATATTTTTTGAAGATTTATGGTCCATAAAGGAAAAACATATCGAACTTTGAAGGGAATTTACAAATAGTTTTTCGAGATATTCGTGAATGACGGTTACAGAAAAAGTTATTTGTAGAATTTCTTAAAATTTGGATATGTTGTACCACTCGTCTTGTATAACAAAAATACAAAGTTTTAAAAAATTTCACCGAAGAAAACACGAGAAAATCATCGCTAAAATCGGCTTGGCCAGCATGAAAAAAAATCGACTCGACATGAGCACGATCTGCGCATGCGTGTAAATTGTAGCGTGTGATTTATAGTGATTTCAACTTTTTGGCTTACAATACATAAGAAAACAGATATTTCTGACTTGTTTGATATGAAAATAAAATATTAATCTTGAAAATACTAATAAAAACACTATTATAGGCATTGTATTAAATCCAGTGTTAGTTTACATTTGTTTTTGTTGTTAAAATCGTTGTGAAAACTTTTCAAAACATCGAACTACAAGTTTAACTTTTCATATAAAACAACTCATAACTGTTTTATTTGATTTAGCAGATAAAACGATACCTGTGAATTGAATTGATTGACTGAACTTATATAAGTTTCGGCAACAGTTCACTACTGTTCAAGAGTTAATAGAAGACAGTATCATTTCAATTTGACAGCTCGCAAAACAACAAGTTGAAAATTTTGAGCAATATGAAAGACAATACTGAACGTAAATACGTAAAAACTCACTAAAAGATAGGTTAAACTAGTTAATAACATACGTATACTGTTCGAATTCAGAAAAAATTAGGATTATAATGAAAAACTCGGGCTTTCTTTGTAGATAAAAACGCCAAAAACTTCCCACGGCTTGTTTCAATATTTTTGCCGAACAGTAAACACGACGATTCCACGCGCAGGTCGCGAGGATGAAGTCTGATCTATATAAATCCTTTTAAACTGTACTAACTGTAGGGAGCCACCTTAAAGTCAGCAATATTGCTGTTCGATATTCACGATTTTCGTATATTTGGTTTTATGCAGCTGATGTACATGTATAGGAATGTTAATTTATTTTGGTCTTTTTTCTTTAAAATTCCGTTGGGTCTGGTAACACATATAGTTTGCTGATATTGCTAAGCGCGTATGCGAATTTGGCACCATGTTACTCTTTGTAGTTTGAAAACAAACACGATGACTCACAATTAGCCTTTCCCACGCCGCCATTTTTGAGTTACTATCTTTTCCAAATCTGAGATTGTACGCAATGAATAAGGGATTTGTATAGCTTTAATTGTGAGTATAATCATTATAAGTTAATTTACAGTTAAATATTTGAAAAAATGTTTTCACATCGCTTGGATTTTTCATGTTGTTTTTAAAAAAGTACCCTAAAAATGGCGAATTTGGCCGTCGTGAGATAGGCTAATTGTTTCTATGCTTATAGCAAACTAAAAACTAATTATGAAATATCATTTAAAAAAAAAAGCATGACAACATATTTTTGGATTACAAATCGAGAACATGTTTTTGCATTACAAATTTTTGTTTTCTTTCTATATAAATTTTAGAAATTTTCTATAAAGATTTTAGTAAAGCAGTACATATAGTGGGGAATGAGTAGCTAATGGAAGAAAAACTGCACCGGTCTGGAATTCTACAAATTGCGTCGCACCTAAAACACTCCATGACAAGTTGGTGAACTTTGTTTTGCCGGTTTGTAGAAATTTAGTTTGTCAGATGGTCAAATAGCTATCTCATGATAATTATCTAATTCTACAGAACAACGTATCACATGTTCTTTCATTACCTGAGCAGTTGAGTCCATTTCCAGTAAAGCCAGATCTGCAAGTGCAATAAAATGATCCCACACTGTTTACACAGTCTGCATTTGGATCACAGTAACCACGAGCACATTCGTCGATATCTAATAAATCAAATGAAAATATGAAACATGAATTTGTGTATGCTGAGTAACATTGATTCAACTACTACAACAAAAAGCTTTGGAGAAGCTGCATGTTTCCAATTTGACACTATGACACAGCACTGATTTCTTCAGTAGGTTATGGCTCTTTTATGATGCAACAGACATGCAGCAGTTGAATTAGTTGTGGTATTAGTTGTCTTCAGCAAGTGTTAGTACCATGCACTGTATTGGGGTGGACTTCAAAAGTGTCAACAACAATAGGAACAAAAGAATGATTCTAAATATTCTTGAACATAAGAATCACTCCAAATCCAGCTCAACAAACAATGTAAAGGGTCAATCCCACTTAGGACCAGAGCCTTCAGAAGTTGATTTACATGTGTTGCACCACAGTGTTTGATCAAAGTCACAATAGTTCAGTTCTGTTCTCTTAAAATTGAGAACTCGATTTCCAGTAACGGTAATTAAAATGTCCAAATTTAAAGTAACGTAGAAAAGAAGTACAACTTCTTATTAACCGAACGCGAGGTCTATACAGAGAAATATCGGACCGGGGACTTTTTTTGTATAGACCAAGCCAGTAGGGAGTGATATGTATAAAAAGACCGAGGTCCGATATTTCTCTGCATGTAAATACCGAGCAAGCGAGGTTAATAAAAATTTTATTATATGGCATTTATACTTGAAACAAACAAGAAATGCATGATTTGAAATTCATATTAGCAGCGTGGTACACATTTGGTCGAAGAAAACAAAAAAATACCAATGTATTCCTTCTTTTAAGCAGATATCTTATTAATAACAAATTATCTTAGCCAATCACAGTCCGCCATTTCACCAGGAAGTGATGCTCGCCATATATAATGATGTACTGTTATTTTTTCCAGTAAGTATACTGTTATCGTAAATTACAGTATAATGGATTGTATTTAAAAAGAAATCCGTTATTTGACATGCGTTTAATCGTTTACAGAAAGTATTCTTTAAGTGTAAATTGTGGTGCAATAGACTGGTTTGAATTACAACCTTCTTATTGTGTCCCCTATATATTTCCCATGGATGCTTTATTTTTCTCCCATGACTGTGTTTCATTGCTGTAATTAATTAACAATTATTCGCCAAAGGAGGGGTTTTTATTCACGATAATCACCGAGCCTGAGGTGAATAATTGTTTTGGTATAATTTCATATAGGTGATTATTTAGAAAAAATAAAAGAATACACATTTCTTCGTCATTTAATTGACAAAACGGTTTCGGCCACCATTTTGAAAATCGCTTACGTGATTATCGGGCTATAATCGCCTCAACGGCGACCCAATCAGCGGGGAGAATTTTCAATAATCAGCTATGTAATTATAGTAATAATAAATCAGCTATATCCTGATCAAAATCCCTAGGGTGGGGATGCAATTAATAATCAAATACCCCAGATCTGGGGCTTAACATTGATAGATGCATTATATGCAGGTTTTTTTTGTATTCTCATATAATGTACCACAAAGTATCAGCAGCATGTTATTGTGGGACCTTGGATCAATATGTATATATAAAAAGACATATTTTTGTTTTATTGTTGCATTAATTTTAATGAAAAAATACTCACAAAGTTGGTCAAGTTGATGTATAAACTATTTATTTATTCATTTAGTGTACAGCACATGTTACAATTATGTACTTAATTGCATGAGTGTGCATGGCAGACATTGTTTTAAATGCACCCACTTGTGATTAACCTAGTTTTTGTTTAAAAATGCTGACAAAAAATCTAAAAAGTTAGCAAATTGAAATAACAGCATTTCTTTAACTTGCTATAAGTTGCTAAACCTAGTCAGTTGCTATTATATCACAAACATCTGTCAACATACACTCATGCTCTTCTTTACCACTTGAGTCTCCCACTCACCACATCACTTTATGAAATTTTTGGATAAAATCCTATTTTAAAAACGTCAACCCTATACTTGATATGCTGAACATAGACCTCTAAGATATCTCCTTCGGCAATTAGTGGGTGCAAATACTCGCATAGTTCAGAAACAATATAACCAACATGTGTCCATCCAGTTCCATATAGTCCAGATCAATTGCACTTGGGTCCATTGGATTCAATTGCTCTGGCCATATTCTTTATACATTCACTGGTTTATCTTGTCCATGAAGAGCAAGGTATATTGCCTGTTCCAAATGATGTAGGTAGTTTTTCTCATGAGCAGCACTGATGCACTTGAATGGTACAGCATTTTCAATCACTTAACTGGTCACCACTTTCTGCGCTATCACCTTCATTACCATATCCATCCTGACCAGGTTCAAGACCAGCCAACCACTCAAGTAGATCTTTTTCTACAAAATCATAACAAGAAAATTTTTATACATAACAAGAAAATTTTTATAAAATTTTTATAAAAATTTTATAAATTATTTTATACATACACTGTAATATCTAAAATTAGCAATCTAATGCAAAAGTGTGTCACTATTTACAGTAATATTAGAACAACACTCAAATATGGCAATATTATTTACAGATGAAAATTGAGAGCACCTTCAGAGCCCCCCTTTAATGGCAGAACATTGCGCCTGAACTAAGGACAAAGGCACGTTCTCTATATGTTCTAAACTTAGTTACGAAATCACAAGAATAATGTATATTCGTTGACTCTAAAAATGTACGGAATATCATATTACGTAGAGAACGACTTGATACTACCTTAAAAGGCAAGGCTAATTATTTCTGACCAATGGGAATTTGCAGCCGGCTCTATTTGAAGCATAGAGTCTGACACGCAGGCTACCACGAACACAGATTAACTGCATATACACTGCCACTATTTTGTATAAAGATATGGAACAAACGGTAGGAACATAACAATTAACAACTGCTTAAGTGCCTTTCTTTACACATTCTCACTCTATATGTCAGTCAAAAAGTGTTGTTTGTTTAAATTAATACCTAATACTAATTACTCATTGCTTCGATACTTTTGTGTTATTAGGCTAAGATAGACCTTACGAGGAATAAAAGATGGGTAACACAGATGGAAACGTACTTCGATAAGGCCGACAGGGAAAAGACTGGCTATTTATCACTCGAGATGTTTGAAAAATGGGCTGACAACATGAGGGATCTTGGGAAGGCCACTGCTGAAGAGATTCAAAAGGTACGAGAAACTATTCGTGACTTCATCACAGCGGCAGGAATTCTTCCAGGCAAGCCAGTGACGAAGAAGGGATTTGTCGAAGGCATGAGTCGTCTTGCTCACAGCGAGCTGGAAAAGAGGCGATTGAGTGAGCCGACACTTCACGAGAAGATGACTAATGCCATGTATGACGCCATTGGTATAAAGGACGTCGTGACGGTTGACGATATAAAGGTTTTCATGAAATGTGTCGACATGGATCCAGAAGGAGCTGTACAATATTTCGCTATGGCAGATAAGAAAAAAAAAGGGAAACTTCCACGAAATGTTCTAATTGATTTAGAATTTGAATTTTGGTTTAAACCTGAAGACGAGAGCACTAAAGGCATGTATGGAGGAACTTATCAAGGCGGTGAATAAGAACAGCGTGCCTTTCCATACACAATTTCTATCTGTAAAACTAACTGAATTCTCATCTAATTGTTTAGAATCACTAGAGACCAAATTTGAATTGTATGTGCATCTGGTTTGTCAAATAAATTATAATAATCATTTGTTTATTGTGATTTACTTGATGCCGCAGCGAGCAAGCTTGCCTGCAGGAGCGAGGCGAGGCTTTGCATTCGTTGGCCATTGCCCAAACCTCTAAGCTAAATACAAATATTAATTGAAGGTATTCTTATAGCTGAATTAGACTGAATTCAAATCCAAAAACTTCTTGTGGTTTCGTCCAGCATTTTTGTATCTGCGAAGCAGATATATATGCTATCGCAAACGTGACCGTACCGTAATGTTACCGTATGTTAACACATAGCCATACAGCGACGCGCTTATATAATTTAAGCCAATTTAAGCCAATCAGCGATTCGTTTACATCAATGTTTACATCGTGCCCGCATCTAACCTGCGAACGGGCATACTTTAGCCTCGTCAGGCCTCGTGCTCGTGTATAAATCGTGTTTGTATTCTTTCAAAAATATCTTGATATTTTATCAATTTATCTTGAATTTCTTGGCTTTATCTTGGCTTTTTTCTCTCGCCATTCTACTTGCGATATTATTCCGAAGTTATTTATCAACATGGAATCTTATCCTCAGCTGGTAAGTAGTCAAATACCACATATTATAAATTTGTGCAAATATATGTCCCACATATTTTATAAAATTTATACATGAGTTGCCAGTTCGGCAAATATTTACTATACTATCTATAGTTAATATTGCCGTATCTTCGGCGTAGAGTTTACATGGAATGCACTCTGGAATTTTTTATTAATACTGTATGTTACACTGTATAAAATATTGGATATTTTCGAGGATATTTTTAATAAGCCATTTGTCAACATAGTTCACAAAAAGATTTATACAGTATTAAAAACAATCCTTCTGTGACTTCTGTAATATTTTAAACAGTGAAAACATTCTCAGGTGATATTGAATTAAATCTTGGTCCTGTATTTCTGTATATTGACTCCATAACTCTGTTCAAAACAACAGTCCAACTATAAAGCTGTCATCAAATGTAGTCTTAGAGCAAAGGTTGAAGATGTTATAAGTTAAAATACTTATACATTTTGGTTTTACACATTAGAGTTAATTAAGCAAAATTGTTTACAAACATTTTCAAATAAAAGAATCCTTACCCTCCCGAGCCTCATTACATTGTCATTTTGCTTTCTAACATAAATATTTTTCTTTAGAGATTAATACAAGAATGAAGAATAAATGTACTTGATATTGGCTGGATAACTTTGTCAGAACAACCAACTTGCAAGACAATCTTACCTAAATTCATTAGTATGGAAAGTAACTTGACAGCTACAATGAGTAATCATATATTATATGGTGGATTTGATCAATGGCACACAATGTACAAAACTAAACTTGTGATACCTTCTACTCAAGCCGATAATCCCCACAACACAATTGTTTTTGTGTGAATGTGCGGTACGTGTTAAACCGAACAGTGTGGTATATCATTAACTGTGCACAGAACTGGAATTTAATTATATACTTCACTCATGACCTTCAAAACATTCTCAATTATTCAGTGGTCTTCGACATGTTCACCAAATATTTTGTGTATGTTACTCAACAGTTAACATTGGCAAGTGTAAACAACAAGTGACATAACTTTTGCTTCATATGATTACAATAAAGTTTTGAAAATTTGATGAGTATGGATTGAATTGACAGGTGACAGTTTACTAAATAGCCTGCTGTATAGACACTTTGAATATTGTTTGCATGAAATTTTTATTTCCTGACTGCATAATTATCTGTTACAATCATAATCACATTATAAAGTTAGTTAAATTTTCTCGGCGGGGGTGGGGGGGGGGGAGCACTTGCCCTGCTGCACTCCCTGCTGTGTACAGCCCTGTTTTAAATCTTATCTGCCATTATAATAAGTGATGAAATATTTCAATTGTCCCATGTCATCTTCATTATTCAGTTTCTTTCAAGAAAATACAAAATGTGAATCAAGTTTTTTCGCAGATACATGTACGCGTCGCGTACCTATTTTTTGAAATTACGATCAAAATCGTAAGATACTCGAATGCAAGTCCCTAAAGTGTTGCAAGTGCTCCAAATTCACTTTCTCATGTCCTGAGAATTACCTGAATTCCCCTGAAAATCGTCTGCAAATCTACTTAAATTTACCTAAAAGTGCACTGGAAATCTACCTGAAATTCCTCATGAGCAATTATCAGGGGTGTTGCACCCCCCCCCCCCCACCAGTGAGTTTCACGCATTCACGCAAACACTCTCTGATTTATTGTTCGTGTATTTCATCTCCCAAAATTTTGTGCATCATACTATAGAGCATTTTGCTGTTGTCATGGTCTAGCGTGGTTCAAATTTATGAATTTTTATCATATAAAGTATAGTGTTTTATGTACTATTTAAAACACGAGTAGGAGTGCAGCCGAGCGTTATATATCTGATAAAACACGACAACAAGTGTTTTGAATAGCTTAAAATACGACTACAAAAGACTACTAATTAGGATGAACCATAGTATAATCATGCTAATTAAGATGAACAATTATATAATGCCACATGTGTTTTATCAGATATAAAGTCACTCCACGTGACATATTATGGCTGACATGTTTGCCACAAGGTTTATGAATTATTAATGAGTATTTTAAAGAGATTTCGACTAGCACTGATAAAAATGATAATCTCACATGTGAAATTATTCATGATAATCTCACATGTGAAAATTATCGCCTTTTCAATTATCGCTTTTCTGTAAAAATTATCGCTTTTCAAAGACTGTCCTTTATATAATAAACAGAAAAATACATGGGTGGTTGGAAATACCAGATTTATTTTTCGTGTTGAACATGATATCTCACTCGTTCGCTGCGCTCACTTGTTCGCTGCACACTCATGTTCAACACTCAAAATAAATCTGGTATTTCGTGCACCCATGCATTATTCTCTATTTAAACTACAACTTGACTGGTTTAAATTATTATCAAGTTATCAGTGATTGTAAAAGTTGCAGATAGAAGTGTTTTGTTTTATATTATTATCAAGTTATCAGTGATCGCAAAACCTCCAAATCCTTAATTTCAAATGTTAGAATCTTAGGGCTTGTAATCCAAGTGAGAATATATA